TCTAATTCTAGATCGTACTATGATCCGTAAAAAATACTTCCATTCAGCTTGATAAGGTATAATATATGTACGACATGTATATTTTTTTTAAATGATATTTGAAATAAATTGTTGGAATTTCTTGTCAAGAATATAATTTTTCAAATATTATTCTATTCATTACCATTTTTCTGATATATGGTGATCGGTAATTTAATCAGATCGGCTAGTAGAGGCCGATATCCATCGACCTTGATTTTGAATTCCGAAAAAGAGCAATAAATTACGGTTCACGTTTGTTAATATATAACAAATCTATACAACACAATGTAAGAATGATATAGGTTATTTTGAATATGATTGAATCGTTAAATACTCTAAACTAAAGTCTAAACTGAATATGGAATCCGGGAGAAAATTGAGCGAACATTTGATGTTGGGCGCCATGCCAACTTCAATATTAAAAATTTGTCAGTCGTCGCCTCATTAATTTCTTTTGTGTGGCCCTTTGGTTGATGACGACATGGAAACGAAATGACGCATTCGGAGACCTTGGAAGGCTACGTCCAAACATGTCAAGTTGTACGCATCGCTACGTAAATAACGTACTGGTATACGTTGAAAGTTATCAAATATCGTAAACGCTGTGCATGAGCGAAAAGAATTACGTAATATGTTTATGTTGATGATTCATAAAAAGCATGAACGCAACCTTCGGGTTCCGTACGACGTAATGACGGTGCCACCGATTCATCATAAAGTTCACAACGCCCACACGTCGCATAAAAATCCATATTACTATTAGCATAGTGTACACATCTAATGAATGATATGAAATTTAGTTAAATAGCATTTATGGAAAACTGTTCATTCCAACCAGATCGCAATAAATAGTGTGGAAATACTTGTTAAGCAGAGAATTACAAGCAAATGTTACCACAAAGTCGTTGCTCTATTGCAAATAGACATTTCTTTCAAATAGATAATATATGACTGTTAGTTTTGCGCGAAGTTTTACAGCCTCATTCGGCAGACAGGTTCGAATGGCTGTATCAAAAATACGTGACAAGTTACACTCGAACTTTTTTAGTGAACGAATTTCATAAAAAATATGTGAATAATTTTAATCCGAGCAAATATAAACTTTCAAGAGCTGTACATTTAAACAGATGAATTTTTTTAATTTTAATTAATCCAAACGTTGTATAGCTTAAAATAATAATATTAGAGGACATTCGCCATCACTTCTCGCTGTGAAATCTTAGAGAAATGCTGTCTTCGCTTCCACTTATTAAAAGCAATTAAGAATACATGATTATTTTTAAAGATTTTAATACCTTTTTATTGATAAACAAATTGAGCCAGGTCTGTTAATTCAACCCATCAGTTGAAGCTAGGTTTAAATGCAATATTTTCAAACTTTATCTTTAAGTAAACTAAAACCGTCCAATTCTTTTTTATAACTATACAATTTGTCGTATCTTTTTCAGACTCAAATCATCCGAGATAAATTTAGTCATTATCATTAAGCTATATATATATATATATGGGGAAATATTCGATTTCAAAAACATATATATTCCTATTTCCGACAGATATTTCAGACAATGTTAGCTTGGTTATAACGGACGTATTTGTCAAGCTTCAACCCGTTACTTAGTGTCACATTTCGTTTTCTACATTTAAGTGAAACGGCATACTTATCGTATATGTAAATAAATAAAAAATTATCAATCGCTTTTGTTGTTATAGATACTCGATCCTCGTAAAAAAACTGTAATTTCGTACACGATTTTTTTTTTCAAAAAAGGAAAATAGTAATCTGGAATTTTTATGATACCATTCCGATACACGCGAATAGGTTTATCGTTGAAGTGGAAGAATGTGAGAAATATTTTATAATCATACAGTCTATATTATGGGGTTTCAAGTAAAATAAACTGTGGTTTCTGAGACGTACGTCATTTTATTGTCTACGGGAATACATCATTGCGTAAATACAGAGGATGTAACAATAGACAATAAACGGCGTTTACTTTATGTCAATCACTCATATTTGCTCACCTACCTCCTTGAGAGTCTGTATAAGCGACATGGTATGACATAATATCCTTCAAAAAAGTATTTTTGTGAACTACTTGTATGCTTATTTGTTTTTTGTATTGTTCCGAAAATTATAAATTCGACGTTGCCATATTAGGTCAATCAAAAAATACTGTAGAGATGATTATTTTGTTTAATTTGTTTAATGAAGAATAAATGTATTTGTTTTATCTTTTTATAAGTCATTTAATTTATATCAGACATACCTATTATTCTGTATTCCTATTGAAAGTTCTTGAATGAAGATAGACAATTAATTAATATTGGAATTTTCATAAGCGAGTTTCTGCTAACAAAGCGATGAAGTGTTTTTAGTAAGTAAAAGAGTAAAAATGACGGTGACCAGGTTGGTTCCTTTCTATCTTATGTAAATCTAATTTTCATTGCTGGTGTTAAACACAGCAGCAGACATAAATTCAATACTACCGAAGGGTTATGTGTATGACAATATATGTTGCGTGCGTTCATACAATAGGACAAGGGTCGTAAAACGTTCTGTGAGAGCTTCGAGGAGGTACCTTCCATCTTTTCTATAGGGAAAACTCGCACGCAACAGTAGAATTTTAATGGGTATTTTGGGCTCGTGTGGCCGTACAACCAACCTTGGGGTCGTGTTGATAAATTACCTATTATGAATATTATTAAAAATATACAGTAATTACGCTTCTTGGTAAACGCGGAATAGTATCAAAATTACGCGGTTCGTGCACCATCTACCTCATCACTTGCCAATCATGAATAAACTCTTTGCTATTCTAGATTTACTTTATATATACAATCGTACTTAATAAGAAAATTTATCATAACCAAAATCTCAGTAGGCTACACGTAGGCTACAATTGAATATGTCGAAAAATATCAACAAAAAGCCAAGATGATATTACATTAATAGTGTTGCCTAAATAATTTCATGTGTTCACTCAATAATATTTGTAGCAGAGTAAAGAAAAGATAAGTTTATTGATTTGAACCTTCTTGAGTTCAGATGTGTGAAATTGAAATATTCCATATGCAGATTGCGCCTTCAGTTTCAAAAAAGTTCCACCTTCGCTGTTATTATGACAAAATTAATTATGACGTTATACGTCGTCATCTATAGATTCGGTTCGGGTAAGTGATCAAAGACCCAAGAGATAAAAAATCGGGACCTGAAAGTGCTATTCCACGAGTTACCAGGTTCGCATTTCATACCACAACGTTGACGGAGGATACATCATAGCCTACATTTCAGCATCCATTTCGGTACGTTTTTGTACATTATTCTTGGGTACGTGTACGCTAAAACCAAAGCACATAAAAGTACGAGTAGTTTTTATCTAAAATTGACCGCAAAAACCATCTTTTTTAGTTTTTTTCATTTTTTAAAAATCTTGCTTACCTTGTAAGTAATTATGGACGCCACATATTATGAGACTCCGGGATGTCGAAACCCTACGTATAAACAAATTACCAAAGTAGCGTTTCAGCTTTAATAACATTGAGAACACGTATAACAAGACATCAATCACTCAGTAACGACGATTGATGTTCAAACGTCGTCTGCACTGCGCGGTATTTCAAAGTATTGGAAAAAATTTGTTCAACACATCAATCGACTAAAACTGTACAAGTCACACTTAGTACACTCTTAATGAAAAAAGTGGGAATTCCCACCAACATAATTGGTTCACAACGTTTTCTACTCTTTCCACCCGTTCGGTAGGTGATTATCCTTTCCACCTTACCACATTCCCTCCCACATGTGTAAAAATCGAAATCCACCCCGAGGTGTAGCAACATAATTCCACCAAATTGATGGAAGCGCCAACTACTCCAGCAGACCCCCCCCTCCTCTCCCCTCCAAATTAAGAAACACATTTACAACATAAACATTAAACAAAAACAAATTTTTGATATTTGCACAATTTATTATGATAGGAATTTTGTACAATTTATATTGATAGTATTATTGGTCGGCATAATGCGACCGAAAGTCTCGAAATCCCCAAAAATGCAACCCATAAATTTATTAAAGGAAGAAGCTACATGGGGTTGACCCCAAAAAATGCAACACATAAATTTATAGAACGGAATAATCCGAATGTCACGAAAGAAGCTACATGGGGTTGACCCCAAAAAATGAAACACATAATTTTATCAAATGTCACGAAAGAAAAAAGCTATATGGGGTTGCCCCCAAAAAATGCTTTATCAAACGGAATAATCCGAACATCACAAAAGAAAAAAGCTATACGGGGTTGACCTCAAAAAATGAAACACATAATTTTATCAAACGTCAAGAAAGAAAGAAGCTATATGGGGTTGACCCCAGAAATACTTTAATCGAACGGACTAATCCGAACGTCACAAAAGAAAAAGTCTATATGGGGTTGACCCCAAAAAATGCAACCCTGAAATTATTCGACGGAATAATCCGAATCGAACGTCGCGAAAAAAAAAAACTATATAGGGGGTGATCCCAAAAAATGCAACCCATAAATTTCTTGATTACTTCTACGAAAATGAATCATTTAATTTCCTCCACACTTAAACTGTTCATGTACGATTATTTTTTAAATTTAGGACGCCTTGTTCAACAGTTACGATCTCCTCAATTAGGTTCCGAATCAAATCCTTGGCATTAGAGACTTGCATCTGTCTCCAATGCCCAGGACAACATTTAGAACATAGTCTAGAAGTAACTTCCTACATTTCTGAAACTTTTGCATACAATCAAATACAAAAAATCCAAATGTACGAAATTGAATGCTTTAATCCAGGGGTGCACAACACGGGGCGGCACGCATGCCAAATTTGGCACGCCATACGCTCAAATGTGGCACACGAACAGTTTTGTAAAAAAAATATTCATGATATAAATGAAAACATCACGTTTATATATATATATATATAAATATAATATATTCCTTATTATGTATTATTATTGAAATTTGTCTGTTTTACAGAGTTAATTTACAATACCAACAATTGCGCGTGGCAAGCGACAAGATTATTTTGAAAAATTTGACACATGTCCTCATTTGAGTTGTGCACCCCTGTTTTAATCCATCTTCGTAGAAGTAATGAAGAAATTTACGGGTTGCATTTTTGGGTCAATTTGTTACTACAGTTTGTTCACAAGTTTTACTACAGCCATTGGCAGTTCTGCGTTGGGCAGATGCAGCAAATACGCCGCCATGAAACCCAAGCTCTTTTTCTTGCCTTTTGGAATTACTAAATTGAAAACCCAATAGCAAGATATCATTGCTGCAATGGCTTCAACGTAATTGGAGCTTTGTCGAATTTGGCAGCCATCGATCCATACTGTTATCTGCTCATCTTCAGAATTCCGAGCCACAATAACTGGATATGGAGTGCTTACACTCTACAAATACAGAAAAAATTGATTAGAGTTGTAGCAGTGGGGAAAGGTTTGTTGAGTTTGTTAACTTGAACAAATTCAATAAAAAATATTTCCGGTTAATTTTTGAAACTATGGAAAAATGACAAGAAATACCTTTTCTAATACTAGCTCATCCTCATTCCATAAAGAGGGCAAAGTCATTAGCCAGCATATTTCTTCTTCATCTGAAACAACAACCAAATTACTATTAAATGATACTGTCGGGATGACATGATGACATATAAGACTAGTATAAATATTTACAAAGTTATTATGAACATGTCTGCACAACTGGGCATGTAAGTTAGGCCCATCCTAAATGTTCATAGCACATTTTACACACTGTCACATGACAAATGTTGTAAGAATGTGCTCAATCACTTCTCCATGTGTTATTGAAAACAAATGTGTGCCATTGGACTAGTATACAATATGCAAAATGAAAAAAAAAAACTCGCCTATTAATCGTTTGACTAGGCTCGGTATTTTCTGCCATTTCCCCAATGATAGTTTTTTCAGGCGGCGAATGACTGCTATAGTGTTCTCTGAGGAGAGTTGCTCAACGATCTTCACGTTACACAACATGTTCATCTCCTCAAGTATCTATAACAATTACAAATTGAGGCCTCAATGATCTTATTTTCTGCTGATAGATGCCAACAAAAAAGGCATCTGATAGAATAAACCGAAAAACAATAAAAATATGTAAAAACTCCATAAACGAAAAACAAAGCCAAAACTGCACAAGCCTAATTTGATAAAGATTTGAACAATATTTCTAAAATAAAACTAACCCATTTCGAAAGTCCAAGGCAAGGATAATCTGTAAGTACATCACATGTTGACTTGCCATGAACAATGTCAAGCCGTCTCCTGTTTGAGCAACGAGCCATTCTGTCACGAATGACATCATCTGATGCTTTCTTCTTTTTCATTTCTTCTGCTATTATTTTTTTATGCTTGTCAAGGCTATGGTCGTCTTCTTGTTCAGTGTCACATACAACCTAAAAAGTTATCGGGTTTGAGTCAATAATCATGCATAGCATGCTATGTTGGTTTAGTAAGCAGGTTTTATAATGCCATTCAAACACCAACTCATGATATTAAATAGGGCTAGTTCTTGTATCAAAAAGGCTGACTTGGGAATAGAGCCTACCAGCACATTCAGTAATTAAGTTATATACTAGATTCAAAAATCTGCAATGTAATAAAATATATTGAAAGCGCTCGCCCATATATATATGCCTACCCGGAAATACAGCTACACAGACTAACTCAATGCTGAAATAATTACCGTCATTAACATCAAATATAGGGTTGCAAAATTTTTGGCAACTCACTGATTTCATTGTCTGCGACACAAGTAGTTCACAATATGTAGTTTTTTTTTATGTTTCCATAGATTGCGGTACGCTCAAAATTCAATATGCATGCGGCAAAAAGTATTAGCAGAAAAAGCCGACGAGTTGTGGCAAAATACGCTAGTACAACACATGCTGCTGATGTTGTGAGTGATCAGACAGTGCGAAGATGTTTACGGGATATTTCGTGAATGGCATTTAACGAGATTTCGCTATTGCATTTTTTTAGAGACGAGGTTACGTGGTCGAAGTTTAACAAATGTGGCCACTTAATCTTATCTCAACTATTCTTTTAAATCAAAAAAGACCTACTACACTTGGGCTCCGCAGAAAGCTGCATCTGCTTGAAACTGAAATATTGCTATCTGACTCTACAGCTATCTTTTGCCTTTTTGAGCCATACTTGGCTCTCATCTCTTCATGGAAGACGTCATCTTGTACTGATCTTCTATAATCTTTAAATTTCTGACTGATGCTGGAAGTCCAAGATGCCTGTGCAAACACGAAAACTATGTGAACTTCCTATCTCTATTCATAATACTACTGCAAACTCCTTAAAACTTTTAACTGGTCTTGCACACAACCTTGTTGAATGAAACACACAATAAGATTGACACAGTGATCTCGAAATATCGGAACTAAAAGTGTCAGTTATCCCCTAGCCCTGACATCCTATATACTTTCACAAACCCAGTCCCTGAATAGTACTAAATTACCTCAATTTTACATAACATACATAACTAGTTTCCCTAAATCTTATCTTTCTTAAATGAATAAAAATACTTTAAACACCAAATCACCCTAGCTGAACACTTAATTACGCACATAATAGCATCCTCTACTGGCAAGTCTGTCGCGTAGGACAGGATACGTTTTCACAAGCATGCTTCCGACCTCTTGGTAGTTGCACGGAGCTGGATACCTGCAACAAAAAAACGCGTAAGACTGCACTAGTGTAATTCAAAAGGTGCCTGGATTAGCGTTTTTTTAACAACTTTGTCACTCAACTCAAACAATTAATTTGATATTGTCATCATATTGAATTATGAAACATCTAACACTGACTAAAGGAATGAAATAAACAAGGAACTTCACCTAAAAAATTTTGAATCAAATTATAAATAAACCGTGACCATTCGATTGTAAGACAAAAATATACCTTCATTTAAATTGCAGTATCCTGGAATAAAAAAAGTCCTCTAAGGTTTATTTACACTGATTTTATGCAATACAAAATCATTTCAAGAACAATTTGTCTGAAATCATTGATTTCGCTATTTTTTTCGTATTGTTGCGAGCCAGATGAAAGAATGACACAGGCCGGATCTGGCCCGCCCGTAGTTTGGTGATCTCTGGCATAAAATAACTACACTGTACTGTACTCACATAGTGTAACTTCTCATTTTGTTAAACAGTATGTTTATAATTTCCTTCCTTATATTTTTCTGTAATGGCATTTTATCATCACTTTTAAGCTCATTCAGATGATGCTTTATATGTCTAGGAAGAGTAGGCAAGGTGAATGTCATGGGCCACTGTGCTGCATCAACTTTTGGTGGCTCTTCATGTATGTTGTCTATTGGTATTGTATCGTGTGACGATGCGACGGAAAGGTTTTCCTCTGAAGGTGTTGAGCATCGCATGCGGCTGGCTATAAAAATTTATGAATGTTGCGTAAATCTTCAAGGCCAAGCCTAGGGATGGGCAATATAGAATACCGAATCCGGAGGATTCGAATCCCAAAGTATTCGAATCCAACGGGATTCGATAACAGGATTCGGTTTCCGCCTCTCCGGCGCCAAGAGTCAATTTTTGTATTTCGGGTTCCTAATTTATCAGACGAGCGTTTTTTCTCGCGTGGAAATCTCACGAGCGTTTTTTCTCGCCTGGAAATCTCTCTCGTTTAATATAACTTGCGTCTGCTCGTAAAATCGGTAAACATCAAACACTGTTATCTCAATCGGCATATTCAGGACAAGAAGTCGGCGAAATATACCTCACAGCGAAGACTCGTTATTGCACCATTTTTGCGTTTTACTGATTTGCTAATAGTCAACGTATAATATTAATAAATATTTGTGCCGACTTACTAGCAATATTCCGATAATCTGATTGCAACAATCTTTAATTGTTTACAGATGTACCTTCACTACCTTGCTTCATTTTACATTAAATTATATCTCGCGACTTGCGAGTTTTCCCAAAAAATGATGCATGTAAACCAAAAGCCAGGCGTTAAATGTTATAACATTGCTTTCGAATAATTTAGATCAAATATTATTTACGAATTGTATTACACCATTTTCCGAAATACAAAAGTTATATCGCAATACGCGAAAATCTGTCACATTTAAATTTCACTCTCAAAACAATACATTTTTTTCGGTCCGTTCCTATCGTTTAAGATAGACGCACGTTTGATCTGATAAATTTTAAAAAAAAGTTGCCGCATCTGGCTAAGATAGTGACGTATTGAGTTTAATTAGGGCCAAGTCTGTGTAGATAATGATATGTAACGATAATCATAGAAAATGAATTGTCTTTAAAAGTTATTACCTAATAACTAAGTACACCATTTTCCGAATTTCGCAATACGCGAAAATCTGTCACATTTGAATTTCACTTTCAAAAGATTACATATTTTTCCGCCCGTTCCTACCGTTCAAGATAGACGCACGTTTGATCGAGTGTCTGTAGTATTTCAGTCGCCGATAAACTTAAAAAAAAGTTGCCGCATCTGGCGAAGATAGTGACGTATTGAGTTTAAATAAGGCCAAGTCTGGGTAGATAATGCTATGTAATGATAATCACAGAAAAGGAATTAGTCTTTAGATGTTATTACCTAATAACTAACTACGAAATCGCGTTTACGGGAGCTTTGTTTTGCAAGTCTTGCTCGCACAGAAATAAAAAGTTGATTTTGATTGATAGTGGTTAAATTTAATATTTTACAACGGCCGAATAGATTGCAGTGGCCACACGCTGGTCCTACACCTGATTATTCTCAGCGGGTATGTTTTAGTATACTCGGCAGACTAACATTGAAAATTATTTAACGCCGTTTCATATTTTTGTATTTAACCGCTTACTGTTAAAGTGTATAAAGCGTGTCTTAATTTAGCATTTCAGTATTTAGGGATTATTGGAACATTTGAAGGCAAAAAATATTGTAATTTTCCTAAATTTTATTGTCCTGGGAAATGCTTGTTTAGTATCATATGAAATCCAATGTTCAGGACATTTCCAAATAAATTATACATTTATAGTAATACATTTACAATTTTTTAACATCTAAATCCAGCATTGTGGGAATTCCCACTATTTGAATAAGTATGAAAATAGAATAGGATTCGGTATTCTGGATTCGATTTAACTATTCTAGAATATTCTAGAATAGTAAATTATTCTACATTGCCCATCCCTAGCCAAGCCGAACAAAATCAAATGAGAGATTTGTTTGCGTGCGACCCAAATTTTTAATGCTGGTACTCTCGAGTCAAATACAGACACCCAATTCATTCAACTTAATTAGCAACGGCCTGATTTTACCTTCATCGAATTTACTATGTAATATACGTTTTATTAAGATACGCGATACACATAAGTAGCTCTGAATATCTTACTACCATTATGAGTACATTTAAATATAAGTTTAGTTATGAAATCTTACCAGCATCAATGTCTAATGACGAAATACTGCAATCAGGTTGATCTTCTGAGACTGTAGAGCAAGCTGTATTAGAGACTTGCGGTAGTGTACGAAGTTCTAAAAAAGGAAAAGGTATGTTTTCATAAATATAACAACTCTTGTTTAATTGACGAGGCAGAAACGCTACCCTTAATCTAATTATTGTCTCTAATGCCCTTTGTTATATTACATTTCATGTTATGAACACACTGCTCAGCAAAAATATTTCATTCATAAAGGGTTTGGTAGGCAGAATATGAAACATCATTATACATTTAAAGATACACATAATATAAATTGAAAGATACACATAAGTAGTTCTGAACATCTCACTATTATTATAAGTACATTTAAATATAAGTTTAACTTTGAACACAGCTATGAAATCTTACCAGTATCAAGGCCTAATGATGAAATACCACAACCAGGTGGATTTAATGGGAGAGTAGAGCAAGTTGCAGTTGAGGCCTGTGGTGAAGTAAACAGCCCTAGAAAACGAAAAGGTATGTTTTTATAAATATAACAACTCTCTTGGTTTATTGACGAGGCAGAAACGCTACCTCTAAGCTAATTATTGTCTATAATGCACTTTGTAACATTACATTTCATGTTATGAACACACTGGTTAGCAAAAATATTCCATGCATAAAGGGTTTGGAAGGCGGAATGTAAAAAAAAGTGATATAAGAATGGACAACCCCAATGGCCACGTAACAAGCTTTGAAAAAAGAGCAGGGTCATGTATATGTATATCATCAATAAAAATATCACAACACCAAGCGTGCTCTAAGTTATCATCCCAATAGTACTTCTTTGGAATGTAGTTCTATTAAAAAGTTTTACACAGTGTGAAAAAACAACCTGTCTTGATAACCATCAGTTTCGCATTGTTGCATATGTCACCTGGCTCCATGTCAACCCATTCCTGGAAACCTTCGTCATATCGTACCACTTTGAAGGATGAAAGTGGGATTTGAAAAGTTTCTGCAATTGTCTCTCGAAAACTTTCTTCCGAATCTAATTGAATGATCTTATTGGAATCCTCAAATTTAGCAAGAACACGCATGATATTATATGTATATAGATAATCCTTCAACTAAAATAAACAGATCAATATACTGTCAGAGCATTACAATTCCAAATCCTACTTTAGGCAAGTCTATCTTCAATGAGGCTTGTACAAGCATAGGTAATATAATGTTTGAAAATTGATAAGATTTATACCAGAGATGGCAATTTTCGAATACTTGACTATCCCAAATACACCGCACCGACTATCTCAATAACCTTGGAATGTATGATAATAATTGTAAAATATTTTCAATCAAAATGACTTTAGCGTGTTACAAGTGCTTCAAATTGGCGCTTTTGAATCCCTCGATGTCGGCTATAATTTATTGTTGTTTATCGTGTGTTCCACATCCGCATACTTTATTTTATCGTAAGTCGGCGCACCAGCAATAAGCAAGTTTACCTTGGGAAAGTCTCCGTTCAATATAAAAGATCTTAACAATGACATCATCCTATGAATGCTAATTCCGAGGATGAGGTATTTGAATTGCCATCACTGATTCATACACAATAAAAAAAACTCAATCTGGAACAGAACGTCTCTTTGTAACAGGGGTTCCCAAACTTTCTTGTCCGCGGGCCAAAATTAGAAGCGGAAGGATCTTCGCACGCCGAAATATTGTAGCGGCCGACATCGTGAGACGACAATTTTACTCAAGATCGGCGGGCTGTTCAAAAATCGTTACCAGGGCCGGATTCGGCCCGCGGGACATGGTTTGGAAACCCCTGCTTTATAATATTGTATCTTAATCTTATGTAGTGCTTATCACTAATTGAGTATATATCTAGTGGATGTAGATTTAATTGTTCTCCTGGTTTAAAAACTACCAGCTCACTCTTCTTTTTCATGCTATAGCTATGTAAGCAACGAGAGAAATGCAACGTTTCAAGGAGGTTGCAGCAAATATTCCATGTTTCATCGTATTTGATAATATGGTGTATTTGCACAAAAACTGGAATGTCATTTACAATGTCCACCACGCACACATCATCTATGGCGTACGAGAAGCCATAAGCAGTCATGCTACTGACTGTTTCTACTTTATGAACTGAAGCGAACAATACGAATAGATCTGTTGGCAATGAGCCAGGCGCGACTAATCTTAAACCTGTATACGTCAATGAATCACATAAAATATGTGATGAAGACTGTTCCCAACATTTAAGCCCTTGAATTCTTTTTGTTACTGTCAATCCTAGATTTTTGAAGTTGTAGGAAGACCGAGCCACTTTCTTTATCCTTTTGTGATATGCCTCAAATCTCATGCACCAAAGATGCCTTAATGGACCATAATTGATAAGCATGGTTGGATAGTGTAGCAAAAAATGGAACTTCGGACGAATGCGGTCACTTGCAATATTTATCATGCTTTCATAAAAGTCAGTTACTAGGACATCAAGATAAGGGATCCAGTCTTTGAGAATAGATGGAGCAAAAACAATATCGCAAATATTTGCCAATGTAATGTATAGCTCCCAAGCATCAGATAACCTGGAAACTTCTATATAATCGCTAATTATCAGGGGCAAAAGTCTGAAATAACACCAGGTCTCACTTGCATTCATTGTGGTAATACAAGAAAAAGAATTTTTTCGAGTCACTACGGCCAAATTTAAAAGTTTTCAAGGCGGTGTGGAACTGTGTTTTTGATAAAACATTACTTTGGAATAAATTCTCTAATATTAAATTCAAAGCTATCGGAAGCACACCTTCGAGCAGGTCATGCATAGCATCTGGGGGAAGTCCTGTTGACACATGATACGAACTCAGTGAATTAAGAGGTGAGGCCCCTCTGACACCATATGCCGCCACAAGTCTTACATCTTTTTCCACTGCCGCAACATGATTGTCATGCATTTGCTGTGACCTTAATACGAAAAGACCTTCGTTGCATTTCTTGCAGAGATCAGAATATACACACATACAGAAGCGACAGATTCTCCCACTATTAAAGCATCTGCGAAATCCTCCTATGTCATGACTTCCCAAATTATCACCACTAATTGTCGCAAGCCCACCGTAAAAATGCAAATTTTGACCATCAGTGGTTTTCACAGATATACCTTCATGTTCAAGAATCCAAACATCTTGGCAAAATTTTTCTAGAACTGCCGAGTGCCCATATGTCTTCACAACAGATGAGTAAACTACAGCTAAAATGTGCATATTGCGCAATGAAGAAAGATATTTCACTTGTACATTGCCAAGCGTGTAGTAAAAGCAGGTGAGTTTGTGAGTTCCTCTAGAAGAGCCTAGTGGATTGCAAACTTCCACTTCATCCACGTATAAATGAATACGAAGCATGTTTTTGTTACCATTAAAAAAACTACTCTGGAGAAAATATTTTCCATCAGTAAAATCGTGTAATATGTCATCACCAAATTGCAGTCTGTTCTTTTCAATGCTGGCAATAACGTCATCATGTGATATATAACGAACTAAAGTCTCTAATATCGGGACGTAATAATATTTATCGCCTTCAACTCCAACACTAACCTTGATTGGTTCTACAAAGCCATATGAATAGCAGACTTGCTTATATTTTTCTTCTTTTTTCAAAGAATCCCATAAATTCTCAATGTCAAGTAAAACCTCAGGTTCTGGAGTATTTACAAAAAATTCAACTACATCATCCATGATATTTTTGATGACTGAAACTGGCATAAAATATTTCTCCCTGCATTTTAAATATAGTAAACCAAATTCATTGAGTGTTTCACCAACTGCAACATCTTCAGATTCTTTGACATTATTTCCTGATGCAACTAAATGTTCTTCGGAGGAATTGAGTTCGACAGTACTTGTGCCACTTTTGTGGTAACGCATGGCATGCATGCGGTAGCTATGGTAAGATCTTAAGACTGATCTGCACCCATCAATTTTGCAATGGAGGGCACCTGCAGCTTTAGAAGTATGATTTCTCCTCAAATGGGCCAACAATGACAAGATAGATCGAAAATTCATACGGCAGTTTTCGGAGGGACATGGAAATATTAAAACATTTGCCATGGTATATCAATGAATGCTAAATGAAATTGGTAACTGGCTAAGAAAAGAATACAAATCAACATGTGCAGTCAAACTTTTATACCTACTAATGTTCATATTTCATCATTAACAATATACCGAAGATAGCTATTCACATGAAACATGCGCAGATACAATGATGAAAATATCATGAAGCGGTGAGGAATTCATGCCAGTGTTAATTGCTTGACTTCATTATAAAAATATTTAAATATAAACATAATTACTACTAATATACATTAACACAATACAATACCGTACGCTTTACAGAACGAGTGACATTCTCACGTTTCAGAGAAACTTATTTGAAGGATAAATGAATTAATTACTACTAATATACATTAACACAATACAATACCGCACGCTTTACAGAACGAGTGACATTCTCTCGTTTCAGAGAAACCTATTTGAAGGATAAATGAATATCCCTTCTTTGAGAGACGTCTGGCGGATTTTGTCCCTCAATATCGGTAAAATGAGGTTGTGCACTGAACTAAGAAGTAACGCAATCTAAAACTACCACTATAGGAATCCACGAAATTCACCGATGCGTTTCAGAGAATAAGCAAAAAACTTCGATGACGTCACTGTCACACATTTGGATTCCATCGACGCACAAACTTGGTGTGTGCTTCTCATGTTGATTTTCATTGCAGACGAAATGGTGTGTTGACCATATTACATATATCAAAGATAATGAAAATTACATTTTTAGCAACACAATATATGCCGCACAGCAATATTACATCAATTAAAAATACAACAATAATTTAATCTAATGCTGCATTCACAAGTTCCTTGATCTGTTTAAGAATATTTTATTACAATGCCGCACAAGTGAGTTTCCTAATTTAAACAAACACAATTCCGTATTCACAAGTTCCGAGGTCTATACAAGAATAATTCAATACAATGCCGTAATTTATTCTAATGCTGCATTCATAATTTCCCTAATTAATACAAGAATTTAATCCAATGCCGTAATTTATCGCATTCACGGGCTCCATAATTTATACAATAGTAACAAATTCAAATGTCGCATTCGTAGTTCATACGAGAATGAATTAATCCGATGTCGTAATTTAAACAAGAACAATTTAATTTAATCCAAGGCCGCATTCACAAACTCCCTGATTTATACAAGAATAATTTAATCCAATGTCGTAATTCAAATAGGAATAATTTATTCCAATGCCGTAATTTATACAATAATAATTTAATCTAACACCATATTCACAAATTCCGTTAATTTATATAAGATAATTAAATTTAATGCCATAATTCAAACAATAATTATTTCCGGGAATCGAGATAGTGTGCCGTACACTTTACAGATCAAGCGACATTCTCTCGTTTTAGAGAAACCTGTTCTAACAATGAATGTATACGGTACTCCTCCGAGAAACGACTAGCACCTTTTTCCCTCAATACTGCAATATCAGTGAAAAAACAGCATAATGAGTCTGAACACTAAACTACAAAAAAAGAGCAATCTAAGACTAGCTGAGGCAATCAGCTGGCCAGCGAATACAGAATAATACAGTACCGTACAGACAGTAATACCTGAATACTGGTACCCTACTCTGGTACCGTACTTGACTAGTGCAAAATATTTTCTAGCTTTCTATGATACCACTTTCTGTCTTTGGTTGGGAATAGCCTATATGTTAACAATATACCAGTATACTGATAGGTATAATATAAAACTAAAAATCGAATGACGAACAGATAAATCTATTAGCCCAAGTCAGCAGGTGGATCTAATTCCAGTACCGGTACCGCAATCTGGATATGAAGGTTGGGCTCATTTCATTACTCACCGTACTAAAACCACTAACTAGCGTTATGCCACAATGCTAGTTGACATTATATTTTAGCCTAGTTCTGAATATCTCAAATCCATAACGCTAACTTACCCACAAGTGCTTAAGAATTTGTTCCCGTCCAATTTCAAAATAAGAAGATCCGCAGACACGTGCGAGAAGACAAAGCGCAGTTCGACTCGCGCAAGACGCCTGGAAAAAAGAAAAAGAGTGCCGGCCAATCCGCTTCAAGCATTCGCACCCATCATATCACGTGACGAGACATATGTTCTCAGTACCATAATAACGAAATTCGAACCACGTTTGTTTACAAAATAAGATGGCGGAGAGACAGCCGCCATCAAGATAAGTCATAGTCAAGTCTATTTCATCCATCCAGTAAGAAAGTAACAATGTTTAAAGCCGCGGAAACCAATAGGGAATTAAAAAGTAAAAAAGACGCCCAGTTTCTGTATGCCGCCATGTATTAAGTGAGACATCGAAACCATATTCGCTATGGAGTGCGGAATTGCACAAATCGAACTGCGGAATCTATTGTCCTATCTGACTTATAAGTTATATTAATTTCCATAGTGGATGGTGGAATTGAGTAAACGTCCATGCTGCGGCAGCTTAATCAAGACGCTAGGAATCGGAAATTTTCCATGTATTTAGATGGCAATTATTTGTACGGTTTCAGCAGAGCTCGGGAATAAGAGAAAAAATCCATTAGGTGGGAAATTACGTTTGGGTATAATACGCACTTTTCCTCTTAGTTGGGTGGAAAAAATGCTCCATGACGTCACATGCGAGTGTGTATTCCCCTTTTCCCCTTTAAGGTGGGTGATGAAACAGGGTGTATGCATTGTTTCTCATCGAAATAAGGTTGAAAAACTATTATTCAACCCCTGTTGATGGGTGGAAATGATTGGAATCCTCTTTTTTAGTTTACAGTGTAATACACTGTTAGCAAATTGATTTATATTATAGTGAGATGCATTAAATTAAAATACTCTCGTCTAGATGCTCTTACTATTTGAGAGAGTAAAGTTGATTTCGATGTCACGGTATAGGAAAGTAGCCAGTTCTGGTATTGTTAGAAATAATTTAGGCATCTTAATTTCGTTAATAAGACGAAAAATTGGCAAGTCGTATTGTAGTTCGCAAAACTCTTTTTAGGTAACCCTCCCGTCAAATTGATGGATGACTTAACGTAAAAAGTTCACATCAAAATGGCTCGAATAATTGTAAGCGGTCGGTAAATCGTTCTTTGGTGTTTTACGAGTTTATCTTTCCGGAATTCCCACGCCTCCATCCTGTTCGTAGATTTGCTACATTTGCGCTACATGTCCTAAAATAAATATTATTTTACGAAAGTTGGTTAATTTAAATCATATGTACATAAGTTTATGAAGAGTAGCAGTAATTGACCCACAGAACTGTCTATCTATTAATTATCTACAAATTTATGTACTGATATCTACAAAGGTACTCTTCGCACTTGAAATTTTCAACCATACGTATATAATCACAAAAATAAATCGAATTGCAATGGCTAAGCATTTTAAATAGTGATTAACTATCAGTAGATTTAGTACCGTGAACGGTAATATAAGACATTATACTCATTTGTCAAAGCTTTGTTATGACATAACGGAAGCGAGACATTTCACTTGATAAATTCTACGATTTAAATGTCTTTGTTGTAGTAATCCACGCGTGTGAAAACGCACAGAGAACAAACCAAAAAGGTCGGGACATCAATGCGGTAAGAGCGACCAGAAAGGTAAACCTCGTCGCTAGCTGTATTTGAAACATAATCATCCTTTTATCCACATCCTTTCATTATCACAAACTGCGACTACAAGAAAGGAGTTTAAAGTAATTGAGAATATTTCTCTCATCGGGTTATTTGAGGTTACCCGTTCGTATTAATGTTGTGATATTCTAATTTGGTGGTGATAAGTTTAAGGATAATTCTCAAATAGTACGAAACAAATCAACGGCATTCCCGTCTTCGTGGTAATCGTCATTTTATGATATCCAAATCAGTGTACCGAGGAGGAGCCTGATAGTCTTCCTGACTTGTCGTGATCAGTTAGTTCATTTTTGCAACAAAGATGTCAACAATGAACATGTAATCAAAATCGTACATGTCTGATAACTTGATTGCATTTATCGAGATTCCATACAATAAAATTCTTTTTCAGTCTTAATCACAATCATGTACATGACTGGACGCTCCAGAAGTGTGTGTACTGTGTACCAATATGGAGGTAACTAATTATGTTCGCCTACTTTACATCACGTTGTATAAAGGGACTGAAACATATGGGCAGGGGAGGGAGTATATCCACTTGTCTAACTCAGGCAGTCCCCGAACTCGTAATAGAACTAAAATAAGGAAAATTAGAATAAAATTATGGCCTAACGCTAACCTGGTACATATACTACGCCTACGGGGTACCCATGAGTGTTGCATGCAATTTTTTCAAACAATGTAAACCAACGAATTCTATCAACATTTCAAAATATAAAAGCATTGCTGAAACACATGAAATATATATATATAGTCACAATGAGCTTATTGTAAATACGCCGATACTAACAAAAAATGCGCAGGTCCGCCTTACATAATGCAGTATAATATGCAATTGTTAATTCTAATGGAATTATTTTGAGAATGTAGGGAGTTGATATCCAACCGCAAATGTTCAAAAGCGAGTTATTTCAAAAAACGGGTTTTAATATACCATTGGGGTGGCACCTATGTCAAAACTACCTGTAGGGTAAAACGACATACACAGGAGATATTTCTGATATGATGACGCTATTATGCATTCGAAATGTGGTAATTTTTTTCGGCTTAATGGCGCCAAGTAGCGACATAAGTTAAAGTCATATTTCTCATCATGAATTAAAAAAACTTCACTTGTGAGGCAAGCCAAACTACAATGGATCAAAGACATCGTTCTGCCATGTCGGTTCGGTGTCTCGAAAATGTCT